TCTGACTTCTAGAAATGCTTAATTCATTCAAAGTGAAAGCAAACAGAAATTTCCTAAACTTATCTAGAAACAACTCATATTGGTATTTAACTTAATCCAAATTCCTGTTCGTAAGTTTTCTTGTTCTTCGCATTTGCTTCTAGAGGAAACAGGGATTTTCTTTAAAAACCCAAGGCAACCTAGAACCTACATGCTTAGGGAGGGGGCAGAAGCCGAGACTGGAGATGCGTCCGAGTCTCCCGCTGGCACGTTTCGTTTCTCCTCTCACTTCTGAATTGATGCATCTAGTTCTGTAATTTCTCTCTCACCTCCATGCCCCCCTTTCTCCTGCTTATTTTCTCTCCATACCCTTCTCTCCAAACTCTGACAGCAGAGAAGAGAAGGGGGCCATGCTGGGATCGTGGCCAGAGTCCTGCACTGACCACAGTTCCCAAGGATTTGTTCACATTCAGTTTGTAGCTGATACCACAACATCATTACTTTGATAGTTTTATCTTTAAGGAGCTCCAAAGACTTGGTTTCATTAGTCTTTGCAATAGGAAAGCCAGGATTTTGCACCCAGGATCTGCTGAGTTCAGATCTGAATCTGGGCCAGAAACCCCGATGGCTGGGACGGAGGAGAGGCCACCACTGTCCTGCTGCTAAGGAAGCTGGTCCGTATGGCCTTGGCCCTCCTCGTCCCCAAGATCATCAGGCCCCTCAGCTGGGAGGGCTGAGCGTGGCAGAGGAAACGAAAAGAAGGCCGTGGAGTCGAGTGGGAGCTGTGGCCAGTAAAAATGAGGAGAGCAGGCAAAAGCAGAGGCCTGGGCAGTCCAGGGAACCTCGTCTACTCCACCAGCACTTTGCCCTCTGTTGTGGTGACCTGGGTGAGTCTGTTTTTTGGACCCCCAAATGCTGACGAAGACAGAGGCTCTCTATAACTCAGAATGGTCCAGATGGGACTCTCCAGACCCACTCGGGCTCATCCACGTCCCCTGCCCAGGCTCTGGCCAGGCTGAGCTGTTGCTGCTGCGGTCCCCCACCTGCCCTGCACGGTGATATCCACATGTCTGTTCATGCTGGTCCCTCCACTCCCCATGGCCTCCCGTGCTTTCCTCAGGAAACCAGGTCATGCACGACCAGCATGGCCCCAGAGCAAAGAGCAGCAGCGATGCCAGCTAATGGTCCTAGTAACTGTGTTATAGTTAGTGCCAGGGTGGGGTGGGCGTGGACAGCCTTAAGTTTTCTAAAAACACAAGCATCATGGTCTCATCATCACTATCTCTTCTAGAAAGTATGAATTTAACATTTTTCTACTTCAGTCATGTCCTAAACAATGGTGATGGTGACTAATCTGTATGTTAATTCTCTAAAATGCTTGTGGAGCTTTTTATACATGGAAAGCTCTGAATACTTCCTTGAAAAGAACTAATTATTTGTCATGCACTGATAATAAGAAACTTCTGTCATTTCTGTCTCCTAGTGAAGGGTGGTACATCCTCTGCTCATAATTTTATGGACCCAGGTTTTGTATTAGTGGGGAAAGGAATGATATAGCTTGTGTTTTGTGTAAGGAAAATGAAAATATTTTGTGTCCCCCTCATTTTTACTGTATCTTTGGGCATTTTTTGTCAGTCAAGGGAGCTTGTCATGCTTGGTTGCAACAAGACTCGGAAGGATGGGCAGGATAGGGACTTCGGGAGAGTGAGTTAGGGTGCCAGCTTATGTTTGACATGAGAGGAGCAAGGCCCTGGCTGACGGGTGCTCACAACAAGGCCAGTGGCAGTATCGAAGACCAACGCATTTGGAGGGAATTTACCCAAACAACAGCAGCTGGTTTGCATCAGGCACCCACCCCACGGAGGGACACAGAGGCTTACCCTCCTCTGTGGAGGAAGTCTGTTTTCTCCTTTTACTAAGCTTCCTTTCAGTTTGTGTGTGTTATAAGGACATTCTTAAAAGTTGTTATATGGCCTCAGCTCCAATTCTACATTATCATTCCTCAAAACAGAACAATGGGAAAGAATTTTGCCTCCCCCAGCCTTCAGGGCAACCCCCTCTCACAGCTCAGTTATCTGTCTTGGGGTTGGTTTACACTACTGATGAATAAAGAGAGAGAACTTTGAATATCATGGTAAAACATTTCCATGGAAACTTGTGAATTATGAGAACTGTATTGAAAGAGGTGACCCTAAACTGGAAAGGATTCAAATGTACTCACTCATCAGACTGGCAGAATTAGAAAGGGAGAAAACACTGAGCGTTGGTCCAGGTACAAGGCAGAGGGGACCCATCCTCACCAAATCGGAGCTCAGGACGGCACGATGTTGCCCTGGGGCCCGCAGTTCTGCTCCCAAGATTGCACACAAGCGAAACTCCTTCTCATCACAGGAAACGTGACCACAGCCCCCAATCAGCAACATCTGAGACTCGCGTCCGCAGGAGACAATGAGCTGCCAGCAGCCGGCAGCGGGGAAAGGGCAGGTGCGAGGAAAGGGCAGGTGCGGGGAAAGGGCAGGTGCGCAGTGGTGTGAGCAGCGCTGCCCCAGGGTGAGCCACAGAAACTGGTGCCCAAGAGGAAGTCACAGGGACACAGCTATGACACAGGCTCACCATCAGGCCACTTTTTAGGAAAACTTGAAGAAGAAATATAAAAAGCCAGGGAGTGGCTGACACAAATGCAGCACAGCTGTTACCCCTAGGGACGCAAGGGAGCAGCGGGAAAGGCACCCGCAGGTTTCTCAGTGTTCGCTTCACTACGTCTTTTGCAGGACACGCATCTTTCATTGAGTCCTTTGCATACGTGCTTCACAGTAAAACATTCAGAATATTTTGGAAGTGTAACTAATTTTAGATTCTTTAAATAACAAGCACTTCCTGACGTTCATCATAACACCAGCGATAGGCCTCTACGTTTCACCTTTCCACACCATACCGGTCAACCTCGTAGCGAATGTTAATGGACGCTCCAGGCTTCTCCTACAGCTGCACCACCAGCCGTGTAAGACACTTGTCACATGTGCCCCGTGTACAACATGCCCCTGTGGCAGCTGTTGCCTTGGGATGCACCTTGGCCTTGAATCTCCTCCTCTGTTCTGTGGCTTCCCTGTCTCCATCACACTGAAGCCACACTGGTGCTTCTCTGTGCCTCTAAGATGCCAAGTTCCACCTTTCCAGGCCTTTCCTGGGACTGCTGTCCCTGTGCTTCATTGGCCCCAGGGAGGAGGGCTGCCTCCTCTCCTGTCCCTGATTGCTTAGTGCTCAGGTTATTGGTCAAGTCACACATCAGCCTCTTTTGGTTCATAGCACAGTGCTGCCTCCAGTTGTTGTCCCTGTGACTGGAGTGTGATCCACTCATTGATCTTGGCCTCCCAGAGAGTTGCCCAGTAATTATTTATTAAGTGAATTATTTGAGACAAATCCAAATAGATCCCATAATGCAGTGCAGAATGCGGCACGGTGTCTGGGAAAGGAGACGTGATGAATGACAGCTTCACAGTCAAGTTCTCTAAGTTTCTTTATGATCAAAACCTGTCAGAGGGACAGGACCCCGTTAGCTGTGATTGAGTAGATCTCAATCAGCGTGGTATCTTGCGTTAGTTAGTGTATGACATGTTCAGCAGACCTGTTTAGATTCCACTTGAATACGTGCAGGGAGCTAAGGTACAGTTGATTTGTCTTTGGGGAACTGGCGTTCTTGAGGGGATGAAGGTGAAAGTAATCAGTACAACATGGTCTGCCTTGTAAGAGAGGCATTTAAGACTGCATGGTGTGGGGGCGAGGGGGTGACACCAGAGAGCGGCGATGGCCAGCGGGGGCAGTAGATACTGAACAGACACAGAGAACTCGGGGATCTTCCATGGGTGCC